TGATATATCAAACTAATTATCTGTAACCTAAACCTACTAGAGTGGTTAAAGCTCATCTAGATTTAGATAGTTAAGATATGGTTAACTGAGATGTTGTATTTGGTCCACATAGTAGACCAGATATCAAATTTATAATTAGCAAGCCCAGAAGGAGAACAGATATTTGAATCAGAGTAAAGTTGATCTGAAGTATTACATAAGCAATTATAAGTAAAGTGTTTCTAGTTTTATATGAGAAGGTTGGTTATGAGAGAGATTAGAAGAGATTTGGTGTATTCTTTTTTATATAGAAAAGTTAATCAATATATTTTCTATGTTTGGTCATAGAGTTGGTTAAAAATTTTGAGAAGGGTTTGAATAATAAGCTGTGAAGCAAGAGAGTATGTTATATCAAAGGTTTGTATAGAATGAATAAGTAGAATAGAGATAAAACCTTTGAGAGTAGAATGAAGAAAGTATGGGTAGAGTGAAGAGAGCTGAAAGGAGAAGGATAGGTGAGAGGAAATAGTATGTTTTAGATAGTTAAGTTCGAGTAAAGAGAGATTGAGATTGAATTTAAAAACAGTTTCATCAATGCAGAAGTTAATAATTTGAGTTAGTTGATTGTAGTTAAAACAGATATACTAGTAAGATAGAGAGTTAGAAAGGTTGCATTGAAAGCAATTAGAGAATGAGAATAAATTGGGAAATATAGAATAATAGTAGAAGTGTGTAGATAAGAAGTTAAACAAGATTTTAATTTTAAAAGATTTAAGATGGTTAAGTTTAAGGTTGGTAAAGTTAGATAAACTTTTTTGGTTGTTGTTAAAGTAAAGCCAAGTAGAGTTCTAATTGATATAGTGAGAAAAGTGTGACCATTCTTGATTGTGATTTTGGAAGGACCACATCACAATAGTTTTAGCTCTACAAATCTTTTTAATAAAGTATCTAGCAAGGCTATCAATAGGGCAATTTTTCTATTTAAAGAAAAAATAGAAATTGTGTATATTGGAATAGTTAAGTGTTAAGATAGAGGATGAAGTGTGATTGTTAGCAAACAAATCTGCTAAATTGTTGAAGGTGTTGTTAGTATAAGCTTGGACTTTGTGAAATGTTAAATTAATATTATAAGCTTTGAATAAATTAAAAAGTATATGCCAGATAGGCCAAGAGTTAAACTTAAGAGATTTAGAAGAAAAGTAATAATTTAAGATAAGTTTGTTGTATTTAGAGATTATGGATTGAGAGTTTGTGTAGATATCAACAAAAACATTGTGAGAAAGGGTTGAGATAGCAAAGAGTTTGGCTTTGTAAGATGAGGGCTAGTTGATAATTTGAGCAGAAAAGTTATAAATTACAGTATTATTATGAATTGACCCTATCCAATGCCTATAGTGCATTGATTAGTGCTAAAGTTTTTAACAGAGCTATTTGTATAAAATATAAAGTATTGATAAGAGTTGTTAGCCAGAGCAATTTGAGTAAGATTATCAGAGACATTATTGTTATAAAAAGTATAGATATAAGAGAATCAGAAATGTTGATAGATGGTAAAAGAGGAATATAAGGTGGTTTTTAATAAAAGCAGGTAGAATAAGATTGATATAGTTAGCATTAAGCTTAAGTTGATTATTGTATTTTTTTTTCCAAAATTGGGTAGAAAGAATAGAAAACATCTCCAATGTGCAGTAATTAGCAATATGGTTAGAATTAAGGCTGCAGCCTAGACAGAGTTTGCAAGAAATAAGAGGAAGAGGATAACAAGATGGAAGTGAGAGTTTGATATTGTGTTGCCAATGGTTGATAGAAACTATGCTTGATTGATGAAATGTTTTGTGGATTTGTCTAATAATAATTTTATTGTTGGTATAAGTAAGTATCCAGGATTTGGAAGATTTATTTATAAGATTAGTTTAAAAAGCAAAAATATTATTCCCAGTAGGTTGGAAAGAGAGTATAATAATGCAGTTAGATATATGAGATAAAATAGACTCTTCAAGATAGAAAAACCAAGCTAGTTTTTTTCCCTTAAGAATGTAAAGTAATCTGGGAGATAAGTGTGACTAGTTAAGTAAAAATTAGTTGTTAGCAGAACATAGTTGTTCAAGAAAGAGAATATTTTTGTAGTAAAGTTGCTGTTTAAAATGTATGATATTTAGGGTATCTGGAAAGAATATTTTTTAAGCATAAGCTGCTACTAGTAGGTGGTTGGGACCAAAACAAGTTAGGGTTAGAAGAAATTGAGATGTTTAGAGATTTAAAGAGTTGTATAATTTTAAAAATAGTAGTATATCTGTTAGGGCTATTGATTATAAGATTGAAGTGCTAAAGAATATTAGTAGTAAACTATAAATTGTTTTGAAGTTGTTGTATTCTGATCTGGGTTGTTAAACCAAGAGTAGAAGGGTTATTGATATAGTTAAGAAAATTGTTAATATGATATTGAAGTTGTATATCCCATAGACTATAGATATTATAAAGATTATAATTAAGTATAGTGCTATTAGGAGTAGATCGAGAAAGATGTGATTTGTGTTTAGTAATGGCTAAATATTTGCTGAGAATTTTGTTGCAAGTAGAGAGAGGAATAACAATATTCTGAATATGATACTTAATAGTAGAGATAATGTCATTATTAATAATATAAGAAATTTGTTTATCTGTAATGTTTTTAGTATTAGCAATATTGACTAACTATATTGCTTTATCTTGGATAAGCTATATTTGTTGAGCATGTTTGTTGATGGGAGTAAACTAGCAACCAAGAAACTTGTAAGGTTGGTGGGTTGGGATAGATGCAAGGTTGGAATCAAGAAAGGAGATTAAAGCAAAAGGTTGTTTGGAAATGAAAGTAGATTTAGAAGGGTTGATTTGAATATTAGCCATGTTGTAAAAATAGGTTGCTTTGTTAATAATTTTGTTAAGTTTTTCTTTGAATTGAGTAATTCAAATAGTGTCATCTATATAAGCTAGCACAGATATAGAAATATGATGGTAGTTGGTAGAAGGGTGAGTAAGGCAAGGTTGCTATGTTGTAGAGAGAGTATAGCCAGAGAAGTGTAAAAATATAAGTAATAAGAGGATTATAGTAGATTTTTCAAAAGAGAGAAGTAATAGTTTCATCTTGGTTAATACCATTTTTAACTGAATAAAAATTGGTAAGATAAAAGTTAGTAATAACTTGATTAGTGTGATTAAAAAAAGATTCAAAAGTATGTTAATAAGCTGCTAAAGCATTTGGAGTCTAATAAGAGATTTTTAAAAGAGTTTGAAGTTGACTGAGTTGTATGCTTTACTTATATCTTGTGAATAAATCCAGAGTTGGCTAGATTGATAGTTGGCATCTTCAATAATAATGTTAAAGATATATATAGGAATAGAGATGACATTGCCAGGAAGGATGACATAATTGAATAGAGATAAGATACTATGCTGGCATAGGGTGCTATTAAGCTGATTAGTAAGGAGTTTGGTATAGAGTTTACAAATATGTTTGACCAAACTAATAGGTCATATGTTGGATAAATTACTATCATAAATAGGTTTTTTGGCAATAGAGAAAATATATCCTTCTTTCTATTGCTTAAATATAGATTGAAAAGTAAGATATTAGTTGAATAGAGAGGTTATAGCTAAAATAAAAGAAGATCCAGCATGTTTGATTATTTCATAGCTGATATTGGAGTGACTATATGCTTTGTTATTAGAAAATTAGCTAATAGTAGAGATAATTTCTTCTTAAACAGAATGCTTGAGTATTAGTTAGAATTGATATCTGTTTTAGGACTATATTCTGATTGCTAGTCAGACTGAAAGATATCTTGATTAATGTTATGGTGGGTAGTCCAATCATCAAAGTGTTGCTGGATATATGACTTGATAGTTTAAAGTTAGTAATAATATCATTAATAAGTTTTATATTATTAAATTTGACTGGGTCTTTGTGCCGGTTAAGGATACTATTGATCATTGAGGTAAGGTGAGTTTGAAGTTTAGTACAATATTTATTAATGATTCATTAATGTGTTATCTAATTTTTTTGATATTTTCAATATTTCTAGTATGATAAATATTCTTTCATTCTTTACTAGCCTTCGATAACCAAGAAGATAAAAGGTTGTAGTTATAAGAAATAGAAGATATTTAAAGGTTAAGAGAGTTGTTAAGTAAGAAGATAGTAGAGTTGAAATGTGAAGGAAAAGATAAGTTAAATTTTAGTGAGTATTTAATATGTCTGATAATATTGCTGAGTTTTTTAAGACTAAAGTATAATAAGGAAGCTTTGCAAGAGAAGATGTGTTGAAAGTTGTGGACTGTGAATTTTTTGTTAGGAATATGTTTTGAGGCTGTAGTAATAATACTAGTTTGAATTTTGTGCAAAGTAGTATCAATAGATTTATCAGTATGTAAGAAAGAGAAGTAGAATTTGACAAAAGATTGTTATTTACTTGGTTAAAAAAGTCTTCCCATTTTGCAGAGTCTATAGCTTTGTAGTTGAAAACTCTATGATAAGTATGAGTTTTATATTTATATTGGCCTTGTAGTGCAATAGGGGAATGACCAGTGAGAGATATAAGCAAGGCCTCACCTTAACAATAACAAAAAAAAATTTTATTGTCAAATATTAAATACAATATTGATGATTAAAATTATCAATCTTGTTATTTTACTTGTTTATTTTTGAGTTGTTTTCCAAGAACTATAGTAAAATTATATATTATTCAAGCATTTTTTATTAAACCTAAATAATTATATATATGTATAGTCATATCTCTTTATAATCACACTTTTGGGACCATAGGAACTTTTTTAAAAAAATGTTCTTGTAAAGAGGTGTGCTTATATAGAGGTCTTTTGTTATATATTAGATAGTAATTGGGCATAAATATAGGTGTGATTATAAAAAGGTTTTTATATGATGTGATTATATAGGAGGCGATTATAGAGAGGTATGACTGTATTACGATAGGCAATTTCTAAAAGCAACCTAGCAATTTTATAAAATAGTCTTGAAGAACACATTAATTGATTGCCTGGTTAAGATTTTTTGCACCGATAAAAATAGTGATAATCATAATAATTACAATTATAGTGAGGATAATTTCATAAAAAACAAAGAAAATGATTAAGAAAACAAATATATAAAGAAATAATTTAATTAAAACTGTTTCAGGCTTGAAGTTATTCTCAAGCCATTGTAAATTCAAGTTTGATTCTTGATTAACCTTTGTTTCAGTAAAGGGATCATTCGCAGTTGATTCTTGATTAATTTTCGGTTCAGCAAAAGAATTATTCGCATTTGATTCTTGATTAATCTTCGTTTCAGCAAAGGGATCATTCTCATTATGTGGTTTTCTCACTTTTGGAACACAAGCCAGAGAAATTTTATCAAATACTTTATTACAATTTTTCTCATTCATTGGATTAACTTGCACATATTCGATAGCTCCAATCCGGTTTGCAACTTCTTCTGCCTGTTCTCTATTTACAAATTCCTTACCCCTATTTTTTCTATTCCTTTCTTCTTCAACACTTTTGAAAAATTTAGCAAATGTAAAATTCTCATCATCAAGAATCGGTATCGAGTCCTGTATTTGTTTATTATTCCCAACCAATAATAAAGGTGGCATCTTATATGGAAAATTTCTTTTAATGTCAGGAATCCATATTTTCTCGATATTAGTTAATGTTTGTGGATCATCTAATGCAAAGCATAGAATAATTGCGCCAGTATCTTCATATTCGATCTTACGATCAAGTTCCCCGAGTTCAAAATGACCAATTGCATCATATATTGAATAAACGAAGTAATGACCACTTGGATACCAATCAAAAGGTGCTAAAGGGAAATAAAACTGTTGATAATACATACTGGAAGAATAAAAAGCACGACGAGCAAGGGTCGTTTTTCCAACATCACTATCACCGATTATTGCTATCTTTAGCCAGATTGGATTCAAATTAAAATTCATAAAATAAGTAGGATTTGACGTTTCTACTTTCGTATTATTAGTGACTTCAATTGTTTTGATAACAGTTGACGAATTTTCACAATGTTTTTTATGTGTTTTCCAGTCATTTTTTTGACATTCTTTAGAGCAGTAATATATTTGTTTACATCTCGAACAACAACGTTTGGTAGGTTTCTTACAGATGTTGCATTTATTATTATTCGTCAGGCAGCTATATGAAAGTTCTAAATTATGAAGGACTTTAAATACGCAATAACTAAAACCTGATCGTTACGCAGTTAAACTATTGGTCACATTGTGTCACTAAGTTAATGCGTGTACGAAATTGGAAACAATAGCAATCGCGCATTATCGTTATGACAATGACAAGTATCATGTGACGTCTAGAGGTCTATCATGTTAGTAGTTGTTTAAGATATTTTATTTTAATTATACAAAAGGAATCAAAATACGTATAAACACCTAATTTGTGAAAATTAAATTTTTAAAAATATTCAGATTCAGAAGAATCTTTCACATCATCAATAACAGCCCACCCAATCACAGGAGACACAACAGGTTCACTACCCAAATTTTCAATAATTTCTTGATTAGATCCAATAAATCCAGCTATAAATTTCAAAGAAAAAGACGACTCAATATCCGCAGTAAACGGAACCTCTACTACACCATCTGGAATATCGGCACGGTCTATAGAATTGGAATGTAAAGCTTGTCCTGTACGATCATAAGGAAAGAAAGCTGAAATCCATCCTGTAACTATAGCTTCTCCTCCAGAACCATACGATCTCATGCTCATAACCTTACTCCAAAACTCTTCATCAACTTCACCACGATAAGTCTCTACTAATTTCCAAATCACTGGTTCAAGGCGATTCAACCAAAAATCTAATTCTAAATTTAAGTTTCTTAATTTAAGAACTTTTTCTTGAAGTTTTGTCCAATCTTCAAGTGTACCTTCAAGTGTTACTTTTGGAATTCCACAACCGCACACGAACCCAAAATTAAAGTAAGCCTTAACCATATCTAATAACACGATACGGCTTGCTGTTAAGGAGCTTGAAGTTGTTGTTGAGAAATCACATTCCAATAATTGAGTGAGGTCAATTTTTTCCACACGCTTATCAGTTTCTGTAACAAGTCTATTTATAGCTTCTGGCCAATTACCTTCAAGAGTTTTTTCATGTGGATTTTGTCTTAAGATATCATCAGCAATGACAATAACGTTCTCTTTTCCTTCATGTCGAACGAAATTTTTACGAAATTTCTCAGCATTATAATTAATGTGACGACTTACACCCTGAGAAATTGTAAGCCAAACATCATCAGGACTCAAATGTAAATGCTGATGATTGTTATAAGCATGAATTATTGCAGCAGCAAAACCATTAGAACAATAAGGGTATTCGAAAACTGATTGTTTAGAATTTGTAGAATTATCATAATAAACGGAGACTGCATGCACTTTTTGTTTATGATAAATTCTAGAAATTCTATCTTTAACAGAAATATGGGAAGTTATCTTATTTTCGAGTTTAATTTTTTGGGTTAAAACTTGTGTGCTATGAGCGTTGGTTGCTGTCTGCATCATCGATGAACTGAGTTTAGAAATCTAAAAATTACAACTTATGAGGTAAAGTACGTATAAATAGTGAAAATAATATTCCCTCACTTACTGAATAATTTAAGTGCAACTTGATTATACGTTACATTACTGATTATTAGGAAATTTAAAAATTACAAATTACTACATTTACGTTGAATATTTCTTAAATTATCGACTTCATTTAAGTTGAATATTGCTTAAATTATCGACTTCATTTAAGTTGAATATTTCTTAAATTATCGACTTCATTTACGTATGATATTAATAATTTAGGTAATATTGATTTCAATATTTTTTTTAGAGAATATGATTGCAGTTTCTAGATTTCTTGCACCGTAAGCACGTACGTACAGTACATATAAGTACATATTCCACATCATATTTCAGTATTTATAAATATTTCATATTCCCATGACTTACGTATATATTCATGTGAACTTATCCAAAATTCCGCTTTGAGTATGAATCAAGATTGGCGTAAGGGCACCAGTAGCACCGACAGATTTTCACTGATCTGCATATGGGCAGATTTATGATTATTGCAAATCGCACGCTGATTGGTTAATTTATTTAATTTACTATTAAAATTTGGGGCTTCGTAAAAATAACACAACTTTTTAAATAAAACATATTACGCTTAGAAATTTTATAAATATACTCAACAAGACCTTAGTTTTCTGGATCCCATTTGGATCCTAAATTCTAATGAGTAGACAACGTAAAAACATGGGACTATGTGCAGTACACGGAAATGACTACGTGCAGTATGTGGCAAGAATACAAAAATAGTTTCAGTATTATTTTCGTGTTTCTATCAAACAAGACGTTAGTTTCAACGACCCAAAGTAGTTTTTCTGATCCTAAAATAGGCTTAACTTCTACTAGTGGCCTACTTATTTACCAACACAGTGAAATTATTATAGGTTAAATAAAGTTATCAAGATTAAACTCAAAGTAAAATCCAAATACAGATAAACATGATATAAAATTTTTTATATACAATAGCCAGGATTAAAATAGCAAATTATAAGTAAAAAGAATTAACTAAAAATTAACTACAATATCTAGAGTTAGATTTTCTTTTCTGAATCAATCGTCCAGGTAATTTTTATTTACACATTTTAAAGTATTTTGTTTGAGAACGTGTTTCACTATTAAATATACAAAATCTACTATATTTTACTTGGTATTTTTACCAAATTATTTTATTTAATACTTATACTGCTCTTGTATATTAATTTTATGCAGAAGTTAATTGTCAAGAAAGTAGCATAGACGTGATTTAAATCAAATACATGTAATATTGTTTAATTCAATATGGACAAAAGTTGTAATACGTTTCTAATAAAAATGGTAATGACAAAAAAGACAAAAATAAATAGAATTACTGTTTAAAAATACCGGGACAAGCGTATCGGTATATTGAATGTCATGTGTGACAAAATCGAATCGAATTTTTATTAAGTGGAATTTGATTGGTTAATTATAATGTTTTGATCATCATTTGTGATAAAATAGTTTTGTGACACATCAAATGGAATCAAATCCGCCTAGAGTTAATACCTGGATCCGGATCCTAATTATAAGATCCGGATCTTAATAATAGGATCCGGATCCTAATCATAAGATCCGGATTTTAATAATAGGATCCGGATCTTCATAATAAGATCCGGATCTTCATAATAAGATCCGGATCTTAATAATAAGAGTTAATTACTGAATTATATAGCTTCATATGCCAATACCGCTTATTTCAAATTTGCCTTCATCGTTTTTGTCAAACGTAATGTTAGAAGAGTTTTTTTTTAAAAAGGTATTATTAGGACTTTGTTTTAGTAGTGATTCTATTTTCATAAATTTTAAAAGATCAACTTCCGTCTATCTCAATACTCCAACACCTGAAAGTTCTAGCAATTTGTTTCTAGATCTGTAAGCGATCAGGCTTTAGAGTAAGTATTTTTCCTGTACTAAACTATTTTATTTAATTGTCGTTATACTATATTTATACTCTATTTTATATAAGTTTGTTCAAGTTCTCCCTAATTTTCTTAGATATATGTCTTCTTGATACGCGTCATGTTAGTTTTGACAATTTTTCTTCTCTAAACACTTTACATTACTTATTTTATTTGAAATCGGATAAGTCATTAATTCTTTTTTTTTTTTTCCCAGCATTATTACCATGGAACACCGAGTAAGCGTACTTAAGTCATTAATTCTAAACACAAGACTTGTAGGTAATTATAAATTCTTAATATACCTCAAGCGATGCTACTTTTTATTTAAATGCATTTTTATTGAAGCATTGTGATTCTTTATTTTATACTCAATGGAATTAAAAATTTACTAGTTAAAAATTGATTTATGCTAATATCAATATTTTCTATTAAAGGTTGTTAATACGGCCACAACCAGATCTCTTAAACACAATTCTGACTAAGGAGGGCCCAAAATATGTACATAGGGACTCAAGGAGAGGAGTATAATATTCTTTTCAAATAATTAGTCGCAAGGTCAGGTCTTTCTAAGCATGATGTGAGGGGCCAAAAGAAAGATACCTAAAACGTGTACTTAAAAAAAAAAGGAGTATGACTTGTCAAATAATTAGTTTGTATAGTCAAAAATCTCCTAAGTGCAATGCGAAGGGAATAGTAAGTTAAATAGTCAAAGCACATTTAAGAGGAGTATGACTTTCTTGCTAAATAATTAGTATAGGTAAACCTCCTAATTGCAATATCAATGTATCTATAAGATAATCAAAAACGTATTAAAAAATTAAATAATTTATATAATCAAACCTTATAGTCCAATAAAAAAAAATTTGGTAGGTTGTACTAAAAGGAATATGACTATACGTTAAATTTCTTGTAAAATAATTAGTTAATATGATTAGATCTTTTAAGTGCGTTACCAAGGAGTTTGCATTTAGAGGAGTATGGTTACAAATTCTTTATTAAATAATTTTTTTAAAAGATGTATATTGTTTAAATAATAAAATTTCTTTATAAATAATCAATGTTTTCAGTTTTCATTTTATTAAAAATTTCGTTCTAAAGTTTTATCCAAAAAAATTCAACATACAATTTCGACATAAAATCTTTTATTTTAAAAATTTTGCCCAAAGTTTTGCTTTAAAAAATGAATAAACAAATAAATAATCACAGAAAAAAAAGAAAGATTTCTAATAAAACAAAAGCCCAATCGACATCATCCGTAGCATCTAGTAACTTATCAATCTCAAGAGCAAATGCTACTTTACATGGTTTTTTTATAAAGATGATCAAACTGATAGTACAATCACGTATTGCAAGATTTGCATTCAGGAATTAGATGAATTAGATGAAATTGACGCAGAACTATATCCATACGTTAAATCAGGAAGCAGTACGGGGAACTTAGTAAAACATTTACGCGAGAAGTATCGCATAACTTCAAAAAACTATAATAGATATCTTGATGATAATAAAGAAGTAAAATTAATATATATTTTTTAATTAATTTTGAATAAATCACTTTGTTTATTTTTTTTTTTTTTAAGCCAATAGCAATAATTAACTGATCCGTTAATTCAGCAGATCCTGACTTACCTTCTCTTTCACCTACACAACAACGTGAATTAAAAAAACTTGTAGTTGAGTTTATCGTATATGATATCCAACCTTTAAATATATTAAGAAATCCATTATTTCGTAAGCTTCTAAATGGGTTTAAACCACAATACCAAATACCATATGCGAAAACTGTTAAAAAATATATTTCTGAAGCCTATATGTGGGGGACAGAACAGCTTAAAGAGTTGTTATTAAATGTTAATACTTTAATCTAACAACAGACTTATGGACTGCAAAAAGCAATCACAGCTATCTTGGCATTACTATAATGTGGTTAACTTCTGATTTTAAACTTCAGGAAGCATTACTCTCAAATCACCACATGCCATATCCACATACAGGTCAAGATATTAGTGAGGAGTTATTTAGCATTATAAATAAGTGGGAATTAATAAATAAAGTACATAATATTGTAACAAATAATGGGGCGAATATGATAAAAGGTGTTAGATTATTAAAAGAAAACCACCTTCCTGATATTAACTGGCAGTCATACATTGCTCATACCCTTCAACTTTCATTAAAAGAAGGGTTAAAACAAATTAAGCTACTTCATAAATGACTTTGAAGCATCCAAACATTTTTTAAGCTTCCAAAGTAAACACAATATCTGCGAAATGCGCAAATGCAAATGCAAATAGATTCGTCTGATATAATTCAAAGTAATGCTGAAGACGAAATAGTAAATTCACTTGAAGTTCTAAGTGATTGTAAAATCCATTGGAATTCGACCTATTTAGCATGGAAAAGAATTTTAATATTGCATCCAGCAATGTTATCACTTGCAATCTCATTAAGAAATAAGTCAGATGCTGCTTCAAAACGGAAAGGCGAAAAACTTCTAAAATTGTGTCTTACTACAGAAGAACAAGAGTACGTATCGGTATTTATACTTAATCAAGTACTTAGTGTAACAACCAAATTTATATATATATGTGATATATAATATGTATTTCAATTGGTTAACACGAAAAATTATATACACTTATATATTTTTTATTTATTTTTTAAAAAAAAAGGGCTACAAAACAAATAGTTAATCTCTTAAAGCCATTTGAAGAGATTACAAGACACATTTGTGGATCAAAGTATCTCACTTTAAATCTTGTATACCCCTATATTCGAACTTTAAAAAATAAATTCATGCCGAAAAGTGAAAATAGTGAATCATATGAAGCTTGGATTACCCTAATTTATGGCTCAGAAGATTCGGATACCAGCAATAATTCAAGTATTAGTAGTAACAACGAAGCTGATATACCATTAGCAGGAAATCATCAATAATGGCAGTATGCACATCGAAGTGTGTATCATAATAAAAGTCATGCAAGTTATAAAAAAAGTAAAAATAAAAAAAAAAAAGTAAAAAAAAAATAACACTTACAAAATTAGAAGATTCTAATTCTGTAGAATACTTATCACCTGTAAATTGTTCTGGGCTCTTAGAAAGAGCCTGAGCTGCTATTTTTTTGTCTATTGATGAATTATGGAATTCATCTAATATAATAGGTTTAAAGGCTTCTATTTTAGACCCCCGAGCATTAAAATTACTCCTATTTGCTACAACTCAAGAATGAAAAGAAACTGAAGCCCAAGTTCGTGCTGAATTATTGTCATTTAAAAATCAAATGAATATTTCAAGTAGTGCTAAAATAGAAAGAAGTATAGTACCTATTAGTAAAGATCTTCAAGATTCTCTAAGTGCCAAATTATAGGATCATTGTCAATACCTGATAATATTACTGATGAAGATGAATTCATCTGATATATAAAAGAACCAGTAGCTAATAAAAGTCATAATTCTTTAATATGGTGAGAAGATATATGTAAAAGCTTTCCATTTCTTAGTCAACTTGCTCATAAATACCTGTCTATACCTGCTACATCAGTTCTATCAGAATATCTATTTTCTGATGCAAACACTCATATTTCTGCTAGAAGAACTTATCTTGATTCTAATTTGGTAGATAAGATATTGTTTTTAAAAAGAAATGCACATTACCACACCATGATTCCACCTGATAATAAATAATTTCATCACTTATCTGTTTTTTTTTTTAACCCAAAAACTTGTCTTTAATTCACATATGCATAAAATTTATTTAGTCATATTATTATTATTATTATTATATATATGATCTAACATTAATAAAAAGATACTGTTCAAATTAACAATTCTAAGAACAGATAAAGAAAGATCAGACATTAATAAATTATGAAGTATACAAGTTCATTCTAATTTAAAGCAAAATATATAAATAAATCTTAAAAAAATTAATATACCATACAACATCACAAAATTTTTTAAATAGATTTATAGTGATATATAACATATAATCGATTTACATCGATTAAAATTAAACATTACACATCAATTAACTTGTTATAAATCGATATATATCAAAAATTGATTATTAATGATAATTGAAATGAAATCAATGTAGATCAAATTATCAATTATCATCAAACTAACCAAAATCACAATATATCGATCATTACGTTATTAATCGATAATTAGCATTATGTTATACTTTAGTTAGATATATGTAGAACTTCAATAAATATATGCTTTAAATATTAGATATACACTTTAAATATTAGAACATAAAACTGTTTACTAAATATTCATTTATTTTTTCAAATC